TATATATATATATTAATTCAGAATCGATAAAATTTAGATTTTATCAACTGATGAACAACAAAATATTTAACATACGAAAAATTCGGTTCGAAAAATGTTTGATATGATTCCATTTTTAATTAAACTTGCACTCCCGTCTTCTTTTTTGTGGGAATATGTAAGGGCCCCGCCCAACTTGCACTTCTTTGTCGCGAATTACATCTTAACCACACACGTGTCATATGTTCGGACATGTTCGGATGTTCCAAGCGCACAACAGTAAGCTTTTTTCCGCCATTTTTTCCTCCGGCACAGCACAACCAGCAAAATTACGTTTGTACCCCAATATCGTCTTCCTCCTCTTTCCACCGGCCCCATTCCTTGCGATTTTTCTTCCCCTCTTAACTTCGACTTTAGCAGATAAAGGAATTTAGCATCACAATTCTTCGTCGTCTTCTAGCAGGCGATTCAAATTAACTTTTTTGAAAGTTCGAAGAATACAATCTCGGGTTTTGGTTATAGGTTTTCTCGAAATGCTAGGAGCAACGTTGCAGATTGCACGCAGCCACGGGGAAGATCGGCTCTATAGCCCCTCCAAGCCCTGGCGAGGTTACCACCAGCATCTCCAGTATCTCTGGAGGGCCCGAAGCAGCAGTTCCACCGGAGTTTGGTCCGTTCCTCCTCTAGTTTTCAAAGAGAAGGTTTCCATTCCCGAGTCCCGTGAGCCGGAGAATCGAACTGGATCAGAAGTAGGTCCATCAAATTCTCAAACTGTTTCAACTTCTTCTCTGTGCTCGTCTTTGGAATCAGAGAATGCCTGTTCTAGCAACTTGGATCGCTTCTTGGAGTCCACAACTCCGTCGATTTCTGCTCAATATTTCTTTAAGGTAGCAAAATTTTGCTTTTTTACATTTGCATATCGGTATTTGAGAATTTTTACGGTAGTTTTTGTTCGATATATCAGGAAACAATGGGACGGTGCAAGACAAGCGATGTCGAGTGTCAGCCCTACTTTACTTTGGCGGAGCTCTGGGATTCCTTCAAGGAATGGAGCGCATACGGGGCCAGCGTTCCTTTGGTTCTGAATGGTAGCGATTGCGTCGTTCAGTACTATGTGCCATATTTGTCGGGCATTCAGTTATATGGTAAATCTACAGGGTAAGCTTTTAATTCTAGGCGTGAATGCTTTCTACTTGTTTTAATACTTCCTTCATATCTTTCAGCAAAATATTGTATTTTCTTAATAGATATTTATTAGTTTAGTTTTTTCTAGAGATCATAAAATTCATTCTAGGCTGTGTTTATTTTGAATATTTATATCCTTAGTTTATTATGCTATTTTGAGTTGAATAAAAAATTGTTCTATATATTCTGGTTGAAGAGAATCACCATGTCTTTATGCTGTTATATTTTCCTTTTTACTGAAACTGTTTAAAGCCAATGCCTAAAGTTTATGTTTTAATTCTCTGTTTATCATCTTCAAGCAGAGATTTGTTTCTTTTACTCATGATTCATCCTATGTAACAGGAGATTTGGTGAAAAGAGTGATTCTGAAAGTTCGAAAGACTTCACTAGTGATGAGTTTTCAAGAAATAATGTTGAAACAGTAGCTTCTGATGGTATGCTGCTTTTTGAGTTCCTTGAGGAGAATACTCCACACAGTCGGGAACCTCTAACCAGCAAGGCAAGCCCTTTTATTTTTTAACTTAAGTGGATTTCTTTTGTGATAGTTTTGTTGTTTAGTTAATCATGTTGTCTCTCCAACCAGATTTCAGATCTTTCCCATCACTTCCCCGAATTGATGTCTCTTAGAAGCTGTGATTTGTTGTCTACCAGTTGGATTTCTGTAGCATGGTAACGGATGAATTCATGATGAATTTAAGTTTTTCTGTTGATGCTTTTAATTGTGCTGATGAGAGGTGGAACGGATACAGGTATCCTATCTATCGAATTCCAACTGGGACGACATTAAAGGATTTGGATGCTTGCTTTCTTACTTTCCATTCTCTTTCAACGCAGAAAAAAGGTATTTTGCTTGTAATATCATGCAAATAGAACATTAATCTTATCAAATTTAGTAATGAGCATGGATTAGAAAGATTGGGGTGTTGATTTAGCAAATGTTTAAGTTACCTCGTAGAATTACTGAATGTGAGTTATTATTTTTGTTTTTCCTTTTCAGCTACAAGTTTGAGTTGTTGTACCATTCAAAATATTTATTTTCACATTGCATTCTATTACATTAATACTTGGCTTTTTTATGTAGATTGTGTTGGCATAACACTTTAATATGCAAAGCACAGTTTTTGTTTAGCTGTTTCAGTGATATTATCTTGTTTATTTATACAATATTGCTATTTCTTTGGCAGTATAGTGCGGAAAGTCTTAGAATTAATCTCAGAGGAACTGATCATTGTAATCTTGTTCAGACCGTAGGGTTGTAAACTTCGAAATATTTTCGTGTGGTAGGAAGTTTAGCACTTATGGAGAAACCATGGCACTAATGTCTACTTCAGAGAGATTTCACATATGTTCTAAGTTGGAGTTTTAAGAGTTTACTATGTTTTTCCAATGTTTATTATGAATCAGGCTCTATAAATTTGGATGTTCATAAAAAGGACTTTTTTGGCTGTAAATTTAAATTAAATGTTTTTCTATCTTAAAAAAAAAAAAAACTTAGGAAGTGGGTTCTATTTGGAATTAGTTTCTTCATTTGAATTTATTGTAGTAGGTTGGTATCTCACTTTTTTGCGATGATTTCTATTAATAGGTGAAAGACCAAAAGCCATCCTGGAATAGGGAAAACCCAGGGGTACCTTCATTTTTTTTGCCATTTGATCCTTACGCTACCAAATTAATTTCTTTAGGCCTTTTACCTATAAAACTTTTGCGCTTGTCTTTTCATAAATTAATAACACCTGTGTGCTTTATGCCGCAAACACGAAGTCAAATTCTTTTTACTATGAAATTATTCTTCGTCAGGCCTTCAAAAAACTATGAATTTTTCCTTGACAATCTTCATTAATGCAAAACGATTTTGGTTAGATTTTTTGTTGCAGATTTAATATGCAATGTGGAAATTCATGCAACAAATGAACATGTTATCCGTTTGGGATAGCTTTCTTGAAGCTGACTTCCAAATAGTTGTCAGTCTTTTTGGCTATAACTTCCTTGCTACTTGGCAAAATTTTTTATAGTGAGAAACAACTATTTATGATTAAATGGTATTGAGTGTGGTTCTAAGAACTTTTCAATAGGAAAAAGTCTATAATCTCTTAAAAAATCAACATCGCCCCCAACATCCCTATAATAGCTTTTATAAACAGTTGCAACTGTCCCAAGGGACCCTAAAGCAAGTATGTACCTTCTTTGCTGGAAATTGAAAATAAGATAAAAATGAATTTAAATGAAAAATTCAAGAGCATTTTATTAGAGGTTAAAAATTAGAATTAAAGATCAAGAAAGTCACACTCATGATTGAAATTCATGCAATTAATGACATTTAAGATTTTAACAAATTGGGTAAATATAATTTCTCTTTCTAATTGATAGTAAAAAGATTGCAGTAGAATAAGAAAAAATAAAATAAATAAATAATTAAATAAGGTCAAGTCAATAATTTATGTACATGCCTTAGACTTTTCCTTTTTGTTGAAATCTACCAAATAATTTTATTTGTCGCTACCTCAATGTAGAACACCTTACAAAATATATGTAATAAAAAAGGAGACAAAATAGGAGTCCCACCAAACAGAAAAATAAAATAAAATAAGAATTATCTAATAAAAAGAAACATAATTAGTGAAATATATTCCGAGAAGTAAATAAATTCCCTCCGAATTAGACATTTGGATTGACACTTTCCAACACTCCCCCTCAAGCTGGGTTCTATATATTGTACAAACAAAACTTGAACTTTAATTCATCATGAAATATACTTGGTAGTGCTTTGGTGAGAATATCAGCAATTTGAAGTCGTGCGGGAGCATATGTAGCTAATCTATTTCATTCTTAACATTTTTTGAGATGAAGTGTCAGTTAATTTCGATGTATTTTTCTATTTTGATGCACATGATTTTTAGCTATACTTAATAACTGATTGGCTATCACTAAACTTCTTAATTTTGTCTATCGTTTTAACCTTAAGTTCTTTTAATTGTCAATCAGGAAGGACGTATATCAAGCAGCTAAATTAGGAGTTTTCTATAATTAGGAGCTTCCTTATTGCTTCCTTATTTAAATTATTTCCTTATTTAAATTATTTCCAATGTCTTTATTTTGATTTATTTCCCTTTTAGCTGAATATTTAGATTAGGAATATGTATTATTAAGTTACCTAAAATAGATTATACAGAATATTTTCTATCTAAAATAGATTGTAAGTTTATTATTTAATGGAATGAAAGCAAAGGGAAAATACACGAGTCTATTCAGGATTCAACTTATTTTTTTCAAAGCTTTGACATAGTATCAGAGCAAAATTTTTGCCCTAGCCACCGATAGTCGTTGGAGGACCGTCAAGGCTCCCTTCCCGCTGGCCTTCTTGCGGGATGAGAAGGGAGGAACTTTTTATTTAGAAGAAAAAACTCTTTCTTGGTTTTTGGTTATCATCCTCTTTGTCTAGCTCTGCCCCATCATTGCCAATGCTTCCAAAAGCGCCGTCATACAACCACCGCATCCGCGTCCATCATCGGCACTCCCTTGCAGGTTGCAATCTGATCAAAGAGATCTCCGCCCTCGCAGTGTTCCATCAAAAGGTGAATCGCAGCCTTGTCCTCGTTTACCACTTGGATCTGAATGACTTGAGGGTTTCCGGTGGAAGCAAGCTGCAAAATCTCGGCCTCCCGTTCCACACACTCAAAATCAACGTTGTCAGCGAGCAGAGACTTGTCGATGGACTTAACAGAGTAGATCTCGCTAAAATCCGATGAGCAGCAGGGTAGATGACTCAGAAGCGGTCTCGACCGATCTCGTCCCCGATGCGAATCGTCTCTGATGCCATCATCATTTTCACTAGTCTTCGCCGCTTCTGGGGCATCTTCTACCGCTACTTCCGCTTCGGCTTCGTCCACTTAGTCCGCTTCGACCACTTTGGTTTCATCCAAACGCCATCGTCGTCTTCGCTAGCCTTCGCTATTTCTGCGGCATGTTCGACTGCTTCTTTCGCTTCGGCTTCGTCCGCTTCGGCAAACCATAGATCTTCGGCTTCAACACTCACGACTTCGACATCTCGACTTCAGCAGTTTTGGCATGAAGGTCAGGGAACAAATCGTCCTCGTCGTCGCAGGAAGAATCAATAGCATTTGGATCGTATAACAGGACACGGATCCTTCTTTTGGGCTATGATGAGTAGCATTTGGATCAGGACGCAGATCCTACTATCGATAGCATTTGGATCGTGTAACTGGATCCTATTTGTGGGCTATGATCAGTAGCATTTGAATCATGACGCGAATCCTACTTTTAGGCTATGATCGATAGCATTTGGAACATGTAACTGAATACTATTTGTGGGCTATGATTGGTAGCATTTAGATCGTGTAATTGGAAGCGGATCCTTGTGGCTATGATTCAAATTTCTGGATGACAATGATAAAAAATTTCTTGCTTTTCTTTGCTCAAATTATGTTATGGTTCAGGAGTTATCTCTGAGGCTTCGACATTCTCGGTTTCAACACTTTCGGCTTCGACACTCACGACTTGAGGATTATTGGTCCCGACAAAGTTTCTTGTTAGCAATTTAATACTTCCTGATCAGTCAACATCAATTTGATGGAGGTGTCAATCAAGAAGGACGAAAATCAGACAATTAAATTATGAGTTTTTTATAATTAGGAGCTTTCTTATTTAAATTATTTTCAATGTCTTTATTCTGATTTATTTTCCTTTTAGCTGAATATTTAGATTAAAAATATGTATTATCAAGTTACCTAAAATAGATTATATAAAATATATTGTACCTAAAATAGATTGTAAGATTATTATTTAATGGAATGAAAGTAAAGACAAAAGGATCGAGCCTATCCAGGATTCAACCTATTTTTCTCAAAACTTTGACATTAATAACCTTTCACTTTACATTCCCTCACATATTTCTAGTGTAAAAGCACACTATTCAGACTCTTCACTACTCCGAGAGACAATAATTTGTTTTTCTGCTTCTATATATGACAAGATTGCCCCAGACATATGAACAAATATACAGTCGTTGATTTTCTATCAGTTACCTCTTCTGCCTAACTAGCATCTGTGTATACCTTAATCTCATGATTTTCAATTTTTTTGAAGAGTAAATTATATATAAGGGTTATCTTCAAGTATCTCAGGATCCCGTTCACTACTTCCAATGATCCTCATTTGGATTATTTATGTGCTAATTTTTCACATCGACTGAGTATGCAATATCAGATCTTTAATATCTTCTTTTGTCAACTATATTACTTTTTTCACTTCCGTTCAGCCTTTTTGTTGGAATCCATAAGTGTGTTAGCAGATTTACACCCAAGCATGTCATTTTTAGTCAATAAATCTAGGATGTACATCCTTTGGGATTATGACAATTTTCTTCTTAGATCGAGCCACCTCCTTTCCTAAATAATATCGGAGATTCTTGAAGTCTTTGATCTTAAAATTTTTTGCAAGCATACATTTTAGTCTGATAAGTTTCTTTGAATCATCTTCTGTCAAGATAATATTATCCACATATATCATGAGAATAATAATTTTGTCTCAAGTATTGGATTTAACAGTGTATGATAGCTTAACATTGATGATATCCATTTATAATCACAATTTTAGTATACATGTCAAACCAAGTATGAGGAGATTGCTTCATGCCATATAAAGACTTTTTCAACTTGCAAACCAAACCGTTTCTACCTATTCTCTGAGCTTGGAGGCATCTTTATGCAGAATTTTTCATCAAGGTCGCCATTCAAAAATACATTTTTGACATCAAATTGGTATAAAGACACTCTTGAATTACTGTAAGGGAGAGTAGCTCTCGAACCACATTAAATTTGACAA